GTGTGTGTGTGTGTGTGTGTGCGTGTGTGCGTGTGCGCGTGTGCGCGTGTGTGCGAGTGTGCGAGTGTGCGTGTGTGCGTGTGCGCGTGTGCGCGTGTGTGCGTGTGTGCGAGTGTGCGAGTGTGCGTGTGTGCGTGTGAATGTTGTGAATGTGTGAATGTGTGTGTGTGTGTGCGTGCGTGCAGTGCGTGCGTGCTGTGAGTGCGTGCGTGCGCGCGGTGTGCGTGAGTGCGTGTGTGTAAGTAGTGCGTGTGCGTGTGAGTGTTGTGTATGTGTGTGAGAGTGTGAGAGTGTGTGCGTATGCGTGGGCGCGTGCGCGTGCGCGCGCGCGTGCAGGTGCGCGTGCGTGCGCGCGTGCGCGTGCGCGTGCGCGGGCGCGGGCGCGTGCGCGTGCGCGTGCGCGTGCGCGTGCGCGTGCACGTGCGCGTGAGCGTGCGTGCGTGCGTGTATGTGTATGTATGTGTGTGTGTGTGTGTGTCCGAGTGTGTGTGTGTGTGAATATGTGTGAGTGTGCGTGTGTGCGTGGTGGGGGGGGAGTGTGTGGGGGGAGTTGGAGTGTGCGTGTGCGTGTGCGTTTGCGCGTGCGTGCGTGCGTTCGTCCTTGCGTGTGTGGGTGCGTGCGTTTTTGTGTGTATGCGTGTGCGTTTGCGTGTGAATGTGCGTGCTGTTCGCTCCTCAGGAGGAAGAGGAAGGGAAAAGGGAAAGAGGAGGAGCATAATGGGGAGGAGGAGGGCAGAAAGAAAGACACGGAGGATGGGGGAGCGAATGAGGCGCGTCTGCGAAGGAGAAAAGGAGGAGTCCAATGAGGGGGGGAAGGGGGGAAGGGAGGGGAGGAGGAACATGAGTGGGGGGGGGGGGGGCGGCGAGGCGGATAAAGAGGAGAAGCCCGAGGGAACAGGAGAAGGAGGAGGAGGAGGAAACGGAGGAGGAGCTTGATGACGACGCTTCAGTCGGTATCAGAAGAGATGAGGAACTTGAGATCCGACGTCGTGAACAAAAACGCACTATCGTGACACATCGCGACGAGAGCCTTGGACCCCTTCTTTTGCAGCACTTCTTTCGTCGGTTCGATCAGCGAGGGCACCATGGGACCGAATCCGGGCGGAAGCGCCCGATATACAAGAAGTGTGTCGCGGCGCTCAGACCCTCAGACCCGAGCATGTGCCCCTGGATCTTTCGACCGGCTGTTCATCCCAAGCCGTGTTTTCACCGCCCAGGGGCCCGAAATCAGCCTCCAGAGGGCCAGCATGACAGCAAAAGCAAGAACAACCCAAGTGCCGACTTGTTTTTTCGAGCCACTGGATCCGTCGGGAGAACACGCGGGCGAAACCTGAAGGTCAACGTGAGGTTGGGAGGGGTTCCAGGGGGGGGGGGGGGCGCATCGAACCCCCCGGACCCCCCCGATCGACCATTCATCGCCGACAGATGCCTTGTAGCCCGCCCCGGCCAGGACCGTGCGGTGTCGTTGCCGAGGGCTTATCGCCGACCTATCTGCGATGTGTTGCCGATCTCAAGACGATAACGAGGGGGGAAATTACTCCGACGGGAAGACCCCGCATGACAATATATTTAGCTTACCCTTAGCCCTTCCCCCGTCGCCCTGGCGGACATCCTCCTCTGGCCCTGAGCTCAGCTCTCTCCTCTTCCTCCTCCCTTGTATCTATCCTCCTCCTCCTTCTCCACCTCCTCATCACCGCCCTCCCTCTACCCCTGCCACCCTCCTCCTGCCGCGTTTCTGTGTGCACCTCCTTTCTCCCTGGTCGGGGCAAGCAAATCGATGTTCCTCGGCGCCGTCGCCGCCTCGGCCGACGCGCGCGCGTTCGCCGACTTTCAGACGCGAAACCCCTGTGGGACAGCCTCGCTGGCCATGCCTTTGGGACAACCCCGCGGGCCGCTGGGGCGCGAGAGCAGGCCGTCGGGACAGCCCCGCGGGCCAGACCGTTGGGACAACCCCGCGGGGCCTCAAGCTGCGCGCCCTGGCGCTCAGGCGGGAGGCAGCACGAAGCCAAGCTCCGAGGCGAGCTGCATGATGATGATGATGATGATGATGATGATGATGATGATGATGATGATGATGATGATGATGATAATGGTGACGATGATGGGGATTATGATGAGTAGTGACGATGGGTGGTGATGATGACGATGATGATGCTGATGATGATGATGATGCTGATGATGATGCTGATGATGATGATGATGGTGATGGTGATGGTGATGATGATGATGATGATGATGATGATGATGGTGGTGAGTGAAGTGGGGAGGGGTGGGAGGTGATGTGAGGTTTCTGCGCGAGGTGTCCAGAGAAAACTAGAATCTACGCTGGATGTGGGGAAATTTCCCGCCTGAGACTTCCGCACAATTCACTCACAGACAAGGCCCCCGTCTGATACTTTCTCCATATTCATCCCCTTAGGCGCCCAAGAGTGACAACCGTTCCACGGTTGGGGTGACCCGCTCGGATTAATAACATACGGCGCGGGCCACATAGGGAGGAGGTTCCCGCATTTCACTCGCACGCGAGGTTCCCGCCTGATTTTTCCTCCATATTCAAGCCCCAGCACCCCAACAATGACGACAGGTACAGGTTTCCGGTGACATGCTCGGATTTTAAAGAAATGAAATGCTGGCCCCATAAGGAGAAGGTTCCCGCCTGAAACACTCAGGCCTCGGCGCCCGAAAAGTGACGACAGTCACAGGGTTCTGATGACCCGTTCGGATATTTGTTTAACATAATAAAAAATAATACTAATACTAATAATAGTAATAACGATAATAGTAAAAGTGCGGGCCCTATAAGGAGAGGGCTCCCGCCTGAGACTTCCTCGCAATTCACTCACCGATGAGGCTCCCGCCTGATACTTCCCCCATACTCAGGCCTCAAGAGCCCACAAGTGACGACAGTCACAGGATCTCGATGACCCGCTCGGATCATACATATGAGGTGCGGGCCCCATAGGGAGAAGGGTTCCCGCCTGAGACGTCCCCGCAATTCACTCACACACGAGGCTCCCGCTCAAGACGTCCCCCATATTCAAGCTAGAGAGTGAGTAGTGACGAAGTGATGAGTGAGCAAGTGTGATGCGGATGATGTTGTTGATGACGAGTGGTGATGATGATCAGTGATGCTGTTGATAAGGATGAGGATGCTAATGGTGATAATCAACCGAATGATACGATGTTGTTGACGATGAGGATGATAATGGTATGAGTGTGGATGATTGTGATGATAATAATGACGGTGACGATGCTGAGGATGAGGATGAATATGAGTAGTGTACGTGATTGGTGATGATGATGCCGATGATGATGCTGATGATGATGTTGATGATGATGATGATGGTGGTGATGATGATGATGATGATGATGATGATGATGATGATGGTGAGTGAAGGGGAGAGCGGTGGGAGGTGAGGTGAGGTTCCTGCGCGAGGTGTCCAGAGAAAATTAGAACCCACTTTGGATGTGGGGAAAACGCAGACACAATTAAACGTCGATCCCCAGGAAGAAATGGGGAACTATGGGAACTAGTTGGGGTAGGACGAAAACCCAGAAAACATGGGCAAACGGGGGGGCCGCTGGAAGTTGTGCCTATCTATTTGTGTGTCCCTGGGCCCGTCCAGAGAAGCGTTCCCCCCCCCGAAGCCGGGCCGAGGCGTCGTCACCATCAGCGCCACCCCGCTGGAGGAGCAGCTGGCGACGGCGGCGGAACTCTTCGGGCGCATCCCCGCGGGCTCGGAGCGGTGCCAGGACCTTCTTGGGCGCGCCGCCTATTAGCAGGAGGGGTGGGGGGAGGAGGAGGAGGAGGAGGAGGAGGAGGAGGAGGAGGAGGAGGAGGAGGAGGACGGGGATCTAGATTCGATCGTCGACCGAAGATCGATCGAGGATCGCTCGAGGATCGCTCGAGTTTCGAGGATCAAGGGGGTTTCAAGCCCCCCCCCCGCCTGTCAGCCCTCGGGGAAACGTAAGATCCAAATTCGCCGGGGCCCGGCTTTGTCTCTGATTTTTTATGCAGGGCCTGGCCCGGACCTGACGGTCCAGTTCCGATGGGCTGTTTGCAGCGGGAGTTCGCGCCAATTTTCGGATTGAGTCTCGTCATGTTTTGGACGGCCCCAGTCAGGCCAACTCGATTCCTCTCAACTCGAGTCTTACTTCTTCCCGATCCCTCCTGCTCCCTCCTTCCAGATTTTTGTTGATGTCAATCTGCATAGTAAGGAGGAGCGCCTTTCCAATGTTCTGTTAGGTTCGCGTCGTGTCGACCGGCGGCGACCCCGCCAGCGGCGTTCAAATTTGAATGCCGTGGGCGACCCAGAGTCGTTCGATGTTGAACGATTTGGACGTTTCGGACACGGCCAATCGTTCAAGGTTGAACGATCTCCGCGGTGTCAGGAACCAACGCCGAAGTCTGTACGGCACGAACCTGACGTAGTATGGAGGAGCGACTTTCGAATGTTACCCTTGCATCCTCCCCCCTCGGCCCCTCCTTGGCCACTGCGGGCGGGCCGCGCCCCGCCCGCAGAGCGTCGGCGTGGCCTTCCAAGGTCCTGGCATGCCTATCGTGCGTCCTTCTCATGCCCATCGGTCGCATTTTTGGACTCCCAGATTCCACCCTGCTTTGACCGCCTTGCTACTTCAATGGTCGAGTGGCTTCCCCTCTTCCGTCCTCTCCTAAGGGATGGCGGACACCCAATATGCGTTCGGCGCCTTCCTGCGTCATGCTTCTACCCACCTCTTCCGACCGATGGGTAACATCGCTTCACGCGTCGCGGTCTGGGCCCGAGCGGCTGTCCGCAAGGGCGCGCGAAGTGAGGCGACCCAGAGGCGGCTTCGCCGTGTTCTGCCTCCGTGGGCCCTCGCTGGGCCCGGGGCGGGCCGTCCGCGACGACGATTCCGGTCGGGCGGGTTGCCATTTTAAGTCGGGCGTGTCCCTCTAAAGAGGGAACAGTTACACTACACCGTAGGCGATGCTTAGGAAAACCTAACTTTTCGGCGAGAGTCTCGATTATTCTTAATGTTTCAATGTAAATCTCAAGATTTTGATAGAAGTTCTGGGTTTTTATTCAAATTCTGAGACTCTGAGTTTCTTAACCCATGATTTCTTAAGCATTTCGCAGGGTGTAGTGGTCAAACAACAGTATGGGGAAGGTTTTGTTTTTGGTTTGGCCCCTCCCCCCAAAAAAACAATGTTTCTGTATTTGAGCGTTTCTTGACTCTGTTTCAGTTTTCGTTCCAAACTTCGCGTGTAGGGGGGCATGCCCGACCTAATGGCATTGTAAATGGGGGTGACCTAACGGGTGGTGAAGAAAAGGGCCCTAAAGGAGCACTCGATGGCTCCTTTCGAGCATCTGCTGGCTCCGAAAGGGGCTCTAAAGTGTCCGTTTCGGGTCCTCATCTTCACTCCCATTTTGGACCACCCCCCCAATACCACCCGCCCATTTTGGGACCACAGACCAGCCCCAGAAAATGGGATGGGGACGTCGCGTTGACAAAAACAAGACATCGGATGCGTGGGTCCTCACTCTCCTCCTCTGCTGATTCGTCGTGTCCGATGTGCGCACGGGGCCTTCTCGGCTGCACGCCCATCTCTCCTGCATCCCCTTGAAACGTCACCTGCCCCTGGCGCAACCCGCCTCGAATCCCCCTGGCCTCCCCGCCAGGAGCCGGTGAGGAACTTCTCGGACCCGGCGCCCTTCGGCCCGGAGCAGCTCGGCCAGTGGCAGGTGATCTCGAGGGACAACAGACAGGGCACACGTAAGCGCAAAGTTTGGGAGCTCCGCGGGTCCTGAGGGGACACGGGCTTTTGAGGGAAGCGGTTCTCGAGGCTTTGCGCCGTTGCTGGCCTCTCCTGGGCCCAGGGGGTGTGGAGATGCGACCCTGAACGAAAAGCTGGTCCCGGGGGAAGGCTCCAGAGCGAAGCAGATCAAATTCTATACACATGCATCTTGGGATTAGTCGGGCCTGTCCCTCCACAGGAGGAATATCCAAAATAATCAAGATTAGTCTGGGGACGATTTGCTTGCTATGTTTTAGTATCTTTATCGTATTTGTGGCCTTTGAAACAAGTCGCCCATAAGCCGCCTGTAGGGGGACATGTCCCACCTAATCTTAGGATTCCGCGCGGATCCCTTGAGTCTCCTCTTCGCGTCGCCGTGCGCCAGGGAACGGGTCCCCAGCACCGATCGAATGAGCGGGGGAGTTCAAAGGCCCTCCGATCCAGGCGTTGCACTTTTTCGAACCGGGCGATCTCGCCCTGATAATCTCGGGCCAGGGGATCGACCCGACTCGAGAGTTGCCGCACAGAGGTGGGATCCAGATGGCTCTAGTCTTACGTCGGGCATCTCCCTCTACAGGAGGAATATCCAAACATAGTTAAAATATAGTCTGGAATCGATGTTTTGAGTATTTTTTGCCAGTCATTTTTTGCTATTTCTCATTTTTCCTTGTAGGAGGACATGCCCGACCTAACTCTAGTCGCGGTTTCCCACGGCGCTCACGTTTTCGCCACGTCGGATCTCAGTTGAAGGGGGGGGGGCGAGGGCCTCCCAAGTGGGATCCGAGGTTGAATGGGTTCGGAGCATCACCCTGCACCACCGATGCGTCGCCGCTGCGGCTCGATGTGGGGCCCGAGCGTCTCCACGCCGACGTCGCCAGTGCGTCGCCTACGTCGGCGATGCGGCGCGATCATCCGACCCCAGCTGCGCGGGCCCCATTTGGAAGGATTCTCATGACATCTCCCCGGTTTCACTGCCACTCCTCTGTCGATGCGCCCGCGGGCCCGCGGCCCGGGCGTCCGCGGACGCCCGGGCCCGCCCGCCGCGGCGCGCCCCGTGGTGAGGTGATACAGGGCACGACGCCGGAGGCGCAGATCTGGCTGAGCTTCCCCCTGCCCGACGTCACTACGGATCTGCGGAGGGCAGAAACGTCTAACACGCAACGCCGCTACAGACGCATTTCCATGCGCTACATCTTAAACATGTATACGCGTATACATACATATCTATACATATGTGTATCTATATATATATATATATGTGTACGTGTAGAGCGAGGGACAGAGAGAGAGAGCATTCAATAGAGAGAGAGAGGAGACAGAGAGATAGAGATGACTAAATAGAGAGAGAGGGGGGACACAGCCACAACAGCAAACATGCTCAAGACGGTTCGCCCTTAGTAGTTCGCGTGCAATCCAGCACGTATATCCCAGACCCTGGATACCCGCGCGCCTCGTCTTCGATCGTACCCCCCTTGGGGTCGTATCTCTCGTACTGGCCACGTGTAGTTGGCCCAGCCCCTAGAAGAGAGGAGGGGAGAGAGCTGGGAAGGGACAACTGGAAGGACAAGGATGAAGCACGAGGGAGATTACCAGGAGGGGGGCTAGGAGCAGGAGAACAAGCGGCAGAACCAGACCGGCGGTTCGGGCGGGCGGACCCTACCAGGCAAGTTGGGCGGGGGGCCCAGATGGCCAGGTCGAGCGGACGGGTCGTTAAGCGTTAGTTCTGCATGAGGTGCAAGAAAGTTTTTGCGATAGCGCGATCCCCAAGTAAGTTGTAAGGAAGTCCAGACCGAGAATGTGATTCCTGAGTGTTGAGGGCGCGACGTGTCAATCAATTGCTATGAGGTGCCACACGAGAGCGCGATTCCTGCATACATTGTGAGGACGTCCCGGCCGAGAGCGCGATTTTGAATGAATTGTGAGGAGCGCGATGCGGGAGCGGTTGTTATTGTAGTTCGGGGGCCGGGGGCGCAGTCTGAGGCCCAATATTTTCCCATGATAAGCGCAGGGTGCGAGCCCTGGTAGGAGCACTTGAATTGTTTTATAGAAGCGAGAGCTCAACAACAACAGCATCCACAGCAACAACAATAATCATTTGAATTCCATTCAGCACGTAAATCCCAAACCCTCGGTACCCGCCTTCTGCGTCTTCGATCGTACCCCCTTGGAGGTATATCTTCCTTACCTGCCGTGTGTAATTGGTGCAGCCCCTGTAACATGGGGGGGGGTGGAAGGGTGAGGGGGTTGGATGGAACACGGGATTACCAGGAGAGGGCTAGGAGCAGAAAACACGTGGCAGGACCAGACGGGTCCATCGGGCGGGTAGACCCGAACGGGCGGGTTGGGAATGCGGTCCCAAACGGCCAGGTCGAAAAGGCGTGTTGCTGAAGCGTGAGTATTGCATGAATCGCGAGGAGAGCTTGAGCGATAGCGCGATTCCCAAGTGTACAGAGCGAAAGCGTGATTCCTGGGTGTTGAGGGCGCGGCGTTTGAATACATTGCGAGGGGGTCCCACGCGAGAGCGCGATTCATGCATGCATTGTGAGGAAGACGTCTCGCACGAGAGCGCGGTTTTGGAATACATGGTGAGAAGTATCCTGCGGGAACCTTGGCTCTTGTTGTTCCGGGCCCGGCAGCCCAGTTTGGTCTCACCGAGGTTTCCCTGATTGAAAACAGGGTGCCAGCTCCGATGGGGGGGGGGCACTTCAATTGAAACTGCAATGTTTACCGGAGGGGGGATCAACACACATTATCTTTAAGAAGCACCACGCCAAGTACAGCCGCAACAACAGCAGCAGCAACAACGACATCCTTCACGTTACCCTCCTGCGCCATGCTCCTACCTACATGCAACATGCATCCATCATGAAGCCACCCTTTTTTGGAGGAGATTATAGGACAAAGGTGGGGCGGTACTCCCTCGCCTAGATCTTCCGCCCAAGAAGGTCGAGTCAAGACCTGACCCTAGGCACCTTCAAACTTACAGCTCGCACTAAACATAACAAACAGAGTCCGATGTGGGGGAGCTGTGGCGATTCGAAAGACAAGGCGCTGGAGATCCCAGACATACACTAAGTGTTCGAACACCAGCAGAGGGGCAATCTATAGGATAATGCGTAAAAAGCAGAGGAGTCGAGACACAGTCGAGGCGAAATCTATAGGAACACGCGTGAGCACACGAAGGAGCCGAGCCACAGGGGAAGGGCGCTACTCGGGAACAGGCCACAGGCGCAGCACACGGGCCTCGAGGCCCACGAGAGGGGCGGCGAAGCCCACGGGGGCGAGGCCCGCGGGGACCCGAGAACGTGCCACGAACACGCATGCCTACACAGGACAGTGTCTCCCGAGCAGTTTCGCAGATCGCAGCCACCCAGGGATGGCGAGGTCAGAAGCGAGTACGAGGGAGGTGCGAGAAGAGGATATATATATAGAGAGAGAGAGAGAGAGTCGAGAGAGAGAGAGAGAACAACACACCCCCGCACCCACCAGGATGTGTTTACACTTTTCCGGAACGCTTGTCGACTTGGTCGGCACGCCCCAACAGCGACTATTGCGAACCGCGATGCTTCTGGTTTTGCAACTCATTGTATACAATGTTCTTCGTTAACAAAAGTGGTTGATACACACGTTTATGTCTTTAATGCTTCGCAGTTGCACCGTCGCGATCGCGCGATTTGAGCAATGTCCCATGTAGTTTCGTTCGCGGCAGTTTCGACTACAAAAGAGTTGGACGTAGGTGTTTCTTAAACACGCTCTTGGCTTTAATTGGCCCTCGGCGGTGCCATTTCTCGTAAGTTGCCAGGGGGCATCTCTTGGGGCACATGCAGCTGGCGACGGTCCTCGGGCCACAGGCTCTAAAGAGAAGTTCTGAATCCATAAAATGTGATGCGGTGGGTGTGGGGGTTGCTCGGGTAGCATTCTGAGAGAGACAGGGAGAGAAAACAGCCAGAAAGGGAGAGAAAGTGCGAGGACGGAGGCGGGAAGAAAGAGGCGCGACCTTTGGAGGCCAGGCAAAATACAGGCGGGCAACCGTTGAACATTTTGATCGTGCATGGGATAAGTAGAGGGGTGGCGCCTTGCACACGTCGTAGGTTGTGTGTGGGACCTCCAGTTAAAGCATTACTGCAACGACACGGAGATTTCACGATGTTCAAGGACTTCGTATTCGTTTCTGTGACCCTCGGGAACGTCCAACGATATGTCAGGCTGAATTTTCAGCCATAGGGATGTAGTCGGGACAATGGGGACCTCGTTTTGATCGGCGGCGAGCCCGGGAAGGAAGTGAGAAGGGGCGGGCCTTCTCAGAAGGTGCGGAAGTCCCCCCCTGCCTTCTGAGACGTTTTCTCAGCCTTCCCGAACACACGAAAAGCTTCTCAGGATGCCCGAGGGCTTCTGAGAAGCCCCGCCGCCTTCTGAGAAGGCCTTCTCCTTCTCACTTCCGACATTCTGAGAAGCCCCGCCGCCTTCTGAGAAGGCCTTCTCCTTCTCACTCGCCGCCTATTTGAGGGGAGCACGCGACAAAGATCGGGCCTGTGAGAAGCAGCCGTCTCGGAGTCGTCGGATCTGTTCTCTTCGTGCGACGCCCCCCTGCCTCGGTGAAAGGCCGCCCCCCGCGCTCCACCCCCTCTCAGCTGGCGTGCCGCCAGCAGGAGTTTCTGAGCCACCCACTGCGGTACATTCTTTACGTGATCGAATACACGGGCACCGATTCCATGGCGAGGGTCCTACAGGACGACCTCGGGCTCGTCAACGGCGTCAGCGTCAGCTCAGACATGACCTCGGCTGGGACACTGGTGTTCATCATCTTCTCACTGACCGATCGAGGTGTTCGTAACCAGCAGCTCGTCTTGGACGTGCTCTTCGCATACCTGGCTACGCTTCGGCTCGACGGTGTCAACTCGGAGCTATACCAGACCATCGCGGACGTGAATAACCTCTCGTGGAATTGGACCGAGGCACATGACCCTTCAGACGCCGCCTCAGACCTGGTGGAGAAGATGACGCGGCTGCCCATGGACAAGGTCCTGTCCGGAGACGACCGCATCGACAAGTTGGACCCGTACCTCGCCTTCAGCCTCTTGACGATGCTGGTGCCGAGCAACATGAACGGGGCGTACGTGGACCCTGCCGCTGACCTGAACGGCACGGCCGCGGTGCACGGCCACGCGGTGCAGTCCCTGCCGCACTTCGGTGTGAGGTACTACGTGCAGGAGACTGGCCTCGCTGGGGTCTGGCGATGTAGCCCTCGTCCACGGGCGGGCCCGCCCCCCTCCCGAGCGGTTCGTTTATTTGACCTCTTAAGGAGGGACAAGAGCACATAGGCACAAATAGTCTCCGATTCCCGAACAAAAAAATGAAAAACTTTGGAAGGTGGGAGGGAAGACGAGGGTCCAGAAAACATGAGAACATATTGTAGTGGCCTTCGGCCAGTGCCGCCGATCCGGGGCGCTCCGACTGATGTGATCCTTCTTCGCCCTCGTCCCTCCTCTCTTTTTCCCTCCCCTCCTCTCACTCAGCATTTATCCAGTGGCCGTCGGCCTATCCCGCCACCGTGCGTGGGTGGTGGGTCAGAGGCCTCATGGATGCTGGTTGGGATCTCGTGGTTGGCTGGGACTTCTGGGGGCCTCTTGGGCGCCTCTTGGGGCTTCTTGGGGGCCTCTTGGGCCTCTTGGGGCCACTAGAGGGCCTCTTGGGGGTCTCTTGGGAGCCTCTTGGGGCTTCTTGGGGGCCTCTTCTGCGCCCCTTGGGGCCTCTTGGAGGCCTCCTCGGAGCCTCTTGGTGCGGGAGGGGTGGTACTCGAGTTCGGAACCCCCTCGGAGGCCACGATCCTTGTGAGGGGTGTCAAAAAACGCATCCGCCGGAAACTCGCACCCCCCCCCCCCACCCCCCCTTCCCCGGCAGAGCCACCCCGGCAACCCCCCCAGAGGCTGAGGCTCAGCCTCGAGGCTGTAGCTGAGACTCCTTGAAACTCACACGCCGGATCGGCGGATTGGGAAACCTCGGATTTGTGTGTGTGTGTGTGTGTGTGTCTATTTGTTTGTGTGTCCCTGGGCCCCCTCAACCTCGTCTGTTGCGCAGGTCCAGAAGATTTTTGCGCAGTGCCTATGAGCGCGGGCAGACGTGAGGCTGTCCGAGGCGAAAAGGTGGGGTTTGTCGGCGGGCACCCCCACCCCCACCCCCACAACCGGGTAACCCAGGCCATCGCCGAACAATTCCCGGATTTTTGGGATCTGCGCTGGGCCCCCCTCCCTGGCCCGCGGAGCGCGCCAGGAGCGGCGCAGGAGGCGCCGCCGGAGGGGGGGGGAAGCCGGATTTCTTGGATCCGCGCTGCAGCGCGGATCCAAGAAATCCGCGCGGAGCGCCAAACGATTCTGTTTACGGGACGATCTCCAGGAGATCGCGGAGGCCTTCCCGGAGGAGGCGGCCGCCCGCTGGGAGGCTTGGTTCGGCAGCAGGGCCGACCGCGACGGCATCGAGCGGCAGCTTGCCGAGAGGATCGCCTCGGCCAACCTCACCTCGAAGCGGGTGCCCTTCCCTCAGGCGCCTCGGCCTATACAGGACGCTACTCTGGTGGAACACCACACAATCTGCCACCACGTGCGAGCCCTGCCACGCACGGGCGCGATTGGCGCTGGGGTGTCGGACGTCCCCGCTCTGGTTCATTCGGGCGCAGACTCGCTACGATCGGCATGAGTACGGAAAGTGTGGGCACGAAGATCAGCAGCATGTCCAGTCCATTCTGGACGGGACTTGCTTTAAGTAGTCGATTTGTTTTAGAATCGTTTGTTTATTTTTGGGTATATCTTGGCTAATTATGTTTGGTTTTTCATCCAAGATCCCCCTGCAGGGGGACATGCCCGACCTAAGACTTGCTGTCGGTACCGCCGCGGGCGTTGCCCATTGGAGACGGAAGGCCGCCTGACCAACAGCGGCCGTTGATGTTGCTTCTTGACAACATTTGCTGCTGGGCATCGTACCCAGTTCTTCAGCAGCCCTTGCGGGCATCCGTTCTTGCCTGCAGGGACAGGGCTCATACATGTTTACATTCTGCTGCCTCACCAGTACCATCCCGTCCATTCCTTCTTGTTCTCGTCGTTCCTCGCTGTTCATCTGGGCCTCCATCCAAGCCCAGTACCATGAGGACCTTGTCTTTCGGGGGTGGACCTAAACGGTGTTTGGGCGATTTCGTGGGCCGTTTTCGTTTCGATGTCGTTTTGCAGCAAAGGCGAATCCACGACAAAACGAGGAACAACGAAGTCAAAACGAAAACGAAAACCACCGTTTAGGTCCAGCCCTGTTGTCTTTGGAGATCCGCCCGGATCTGGATCGCTCAGGTCGGCGACGGAGCCCCCCCCTCGCCGCCTGGCACGCGGACCCGCCACCTGTGCGGGGGGCATGCAGCGCCGACTCAAGAAAAATCCGTGCGGACGTCCAACGCTTTAGGCAGGTGCCGCTGCTTCTGTTTTCCTGAGGGAGGCAATCTCCTCCTCCCCCTCCCCCTCCTCCTCCTCCTCCTCCTCCTCCTCCTCCTCCTCCTCCTCCTCCTCCTCCTCCTCCTCCTCCTCCTCCTTCTCTGTCGAGGGTCGTGACATCGTTCCAAAGATGCCGACGCCGCTGCTCTCCGCAGCTCTCACTGGGACACGCCCTGAGCGGGATCTCGAGGCGAGCCCGGCCGCGGCGACGAGGGACGGGCAGTGGCATCGGCACCGTGCTTCCTCCGCCGCTTCCAGGCCGAGACATCCGTCGACTTGATGGGTTCAGTGCAAGGCCCCCGCCCGGTTGGCGGCGAGGGAGGGGGCGAAGTGAGAAGGCGAAGGCCCTCTCAGCAGGTGGCGGGGCTTCTCAGATGCCTTCGCGCCCTCTGAGGAGTCTTCAGTGTCTTCGGGGACGGCTTAGGACAGTTTTCGGACGGCCCGAGGGCTTCCGAGCGTTCTGAATGGCCGGCCCCTGCTCACTTCCCCCCAGGCTCGCCGCCGAGCGATTTTTGTTCAGTACGAGGCCCCTGAGGCCACGGCCCCCTGCCCCTCGGTAGTTTCTCGCTCCGGGTCAGCTCTTGTTTGTGGCCTCGGAGCCCGGTCCAGGGCTCCGGAGTCCGAGGTCGAGGACGAACGCCGGGATGGAGCAGAAACCATACCGTCGGAGATCGGGGTCACCAGACCCCAGCTTCGTGATGTTGCAACACGTGGGCTTCCCGACCCAGTCCCATGGGCCCGCTTCTCATCTTGAGTCGTTAGTTCTCCATGTCCTAAGTGTGGGATTCATGTTACTAGCGTGATGCCTCCGCCTCGTCCTTCCTCATTCCCGCCTCCTTCATCTTCGCCCAAGCCAAGTCTCACTCACGCTCAGATCCGTTCACATGCATACTTGCTAATACTCAGACTCACACTCAGACTCACTCACACTCAGACCCACTCAGACTCAGACTCACTGGCGAACTCCGACTCGACTCACTCACACTCAGACTCATCCGCACACACAGATTTTCCAACTATTCGACACGTCCTTACTCATACACAGACTACTCACGCCCAGGTGCGCTCACAGGTCCACTGACACCCATACTCACACTCACTAATATTAAGTTCGCTCACACTCGAAGACTCCATGCGGATTCATAACCGAACTCATTCATATCCATACTCGCAATCAGTTCAAGTTTACTCGGACGCCCCACGCGGACTTCATATTCAGACTCACTCGCACTCAGAATCACACTCCAAGGTGCCTCTCCAGGGAGTGTTACCCTCGCCAGTTCGCGACCAGGCTGTGGAGATGTCTCAGGCGGCCTGTTCGATTCGTGGCTGGGACTCCTCCTGCTTTGAGAGCACATGGTGAGGATGTCCCGAGCGTGGCGACTGTTTCAGCACCTCGATGGGGGAGCAGCCAGGGGGTGTTGCACTCGCCATGGGTGGCTGGGGCCATTTTGCTTTTGTAGAGCAGATCGTGATGGTGTTCTGATCGAGGCGCTTGTTTTAGCACCTCGAGGGTGGGGCACTCTCGCCTGTTCGCAGCCAGATGCTGGGGATGTCTCAGGCGGTTTGTTCGTTTCATGGCCAGGGTTCCTGTGCTTTCAGAGCAGACCGTGAGAATTTCCCGAGCGAGTCCGACGCAGCGCCGACTCAGGCACCCCCGACCCCTCTCCCCTCCAGGGCCTCGAGTTCCTTCCGACGCAGCAGGTACACTCTAGGCGATGCTTAAGAAAACCCAAATGTTCGGCCAGAGTCTCGATTATTCTTAATGTTTCAATGTGAATCCCAAGATTTTAGTAGACATGTTGAGTTTTGATTCAAATTCTGAGACTATGAATTTCTTAACCCATGAGTTCTAAAGCATTTCGCAGGGTGTATAGCATTTGGGCGCTCCAGGGGGAGCCGCCGAGGGTCGCTCCGTCGCCGCAGGCTGCGATTGCCACTCAGACGCCCCCAGTCGCAGGCGCCAGGAATTGCTGTGCACATAGTTGACGGTCCCAGGGCCAGCGAGGGCCCCCAGAGCTTGAACTTGTAACAATAAGTCAGGAGGGGAAAAACACACACAGACACAATTAATCGTCGGTTCCCCAGAAAATATGGGGAAATATGGGAAGTGGGGGGGAAGACGAAAACCCAGAAAATATAGGAAAATATGTGGAATCCTTTTATTTGTATGAATTTATTTGTGTGTCCTGGTGCCCCTTCAATAAGGTCCGTCTTATTTTTGTCACGGCGCGAGGGGTGTGCGGGCGGGACCTCTTTTGGGGTGCGCTCTGCCCAGAAGCTCGAGGCGGACACGGCCGTGGCCACGAGCGGTCTCCCGGAGGCCCAACGCGCAAGAGACACATGCGATGCAGGCGATCCTCGATCCTCAACGGTGGAGCCTCGATCCCTCTCTTCTTGGGGCTCGCAGTCGATCTGCACCGCGCCGGCTGCTCTGGCCCCCCCCACGTCCTGGGATGGTGGGCTGGCTGTTGAGCCTCCTCCGAACTGAGAGCCGAACAGCCTATCAGGCGATCGCAAACATGGATCAAGGGGGCGTGGATTACCGACGGGTCCCGTTTTCATGGGAAATTGCAGGTTTCCGCCGCCGAGCGGGGCCGCACTGGCCACATTTTGGGGAGGGCACCTCCCCCGATCCATGGATTTGGCGACCGCGCACCAAATCCATGGATCGCTAATCCATTTTTGCGCGCCCCCGAGCTACGGGCCGAGGCAGCACACAAACGTTCGTCTGACCTGGGCTGTCCAATGGTGCTACAGTCAACCCGCATCATAAGGATGGGCAACCTTCCCAAGGGTACCCTGGCATCCTTGCCTCCTCCTCCTCCTCCTCGGTCCATCCTTGGCCACCTTCGTTGGCCGCGCCCCGCTCGAGAAGCTTCGACATGGCCCTCCCAGGATCCCTTGCGTCCTGATCGCGCATCCTGATAAAACGGTCCGAACGCATTGTATTATGACAATCACGGCTATATCTCCGCTTCGATCCTCGATCTATATTGCTTGACAAATGACGGGCGTCATGCCCCCCCCCCTCCCCCTATGACGTAACGCCCCCCCCCCCCCCAGTGCGCCCCGGGCATTGCCGCCGTGCGCATCGGGATCCGCAGAGGTGTCCGCATAGAAATTCGCATCGGAGTCTGGCCCGCATTCGTCGTCGTCGTCGTCATCAGGCCGATGACGGCAATCATCTGGGGGGGGAAAAGGGGCCGATGACGTCACATTTCGAGCCGGCGGCGTCTGGGAATGCCCAGGAATGACCGAGGGCGGGTAGCAACAGCATGTAGGTGGCGATTTGCACCACAGCGCTTGTGTACACCACAGTGCCTGCGTGCACCACAGCGCCTTCATACGTCCGAAACCCAATGACTAATTCAATCGACCATTCTGCGGCGCACGCTGAGATGCGAAGGTGCGCTATAGCGCCGACCCGCACGACAGGGAGGAAAGGTGAGGGAGGAGGAGGAGGAGGAGGAGGAGGAGGAGGAGGAGGAGAAGACGGAGGAGGAGGAGAAGAAAAAGGAGGAGGAGCAGGAGGAGGAGTAGGAGGAGGAAGAGAAGGATGGAGGAGGGAAAAACTCGCATTCCATTATCAGCAATTCCCTGGCGTGACGTTTAGCCCTCCGCAGCAGATCCTCTCCTGCATGCTCCCCTTCTACTTAGCTTGTGCACGCAGGCGCTGGTGTACACAAGCGCTGCGTTGCACACGGCTGTTGCGGTGTACACAGGCGCCGTGGTGTGCACAGGCGCTGTGGTGCACGCAAGCATTGTGGTGTACACAGGCGATGTGTTGCACATGGCTGCTGCGCTGGGCACATTCGCTATGGTGTATACCGGCGTTGTGGTGCACGCAAGCACCGTGGTATACGCAGGCGCTGCGTTGCACACGGCTGTTGCGGTGTACGCAGGCGCTGTGGTGTACACGAGCGCTGTGGTGCACGCGAGAAGTGTGGTGTACACAAGCGCTGTGGGGCAGATCGCCACCTACATGCTGTTCGCGTCCTCGTCGTCGTCGTCGCTCGTCGTTCGTCGCTCGTCGCTCATCGTCGTCGCGCGCGCGCGCGGGCGCGGCTGTGGTGCCGGAGCTACACGGCGGGGGGGGAGGCGTTACGTCATGACCCCCCCCCCTCCCATGACGCCCGTCATCGCCGAACATAGAGAAACGCGCTCCAGGACGTCCCCCGCGACATCTCCCTGGAGCACATGGAGGCGCTGCCCGGCGACCTGGCCAAGGACGGCCTGGAGGCCTCACTCTTCGGGCAGCCGCCCGCGAAGCTGCGCGGGGGCGCCAGCGCCGCCGCGGCGGCGGCGGATGGGCGCGCCCTGGAGCCGAGCGGGCGGAAGTCGAAGAAGAAACACGCCATAAACATTCAGTGGAGGCCCATGCCAAGAAACACTCTGCTTGCCTCCAGGGTGCCCTCGGTTTCTTGGGTTTCGACGGTTTACGATGGAAAGCGTGCCGCTACCGCACCAGAAATCAATGGACGTCCAGTGACTGTTGGCGTTCCGCGCGGATTTCTTGGATCCGTGTTGGGCCCCCCTGGCGCCGCCTCTTGGCGCGCTCCGCGCGCCAGGGAGGGGGGTCCAGCGCAGATGCAGGAAATCTGCGCGGAGCGCCGAAAGTAACGTTTATGGCGTTTTTTCTTCTTCTAGGAAGGGCGGCTGGGCTCCTGTGAGGGAGCCCACTCGCCGTCCTGCGAGGGGCTTCTCTTCGTTTCCCCTACTCCTTCCTTCAAGGGTAACGAAACGGGGGGGACAGGCACAGGGGGGGATGCATCGACCCCAAATCACACATTGATCGCCGACAGGGGTCTGATAGCCCCAACCCGTCCAGGAGGGTGCGGATTCACTATCTGGGGCCTATCGCCGATCTATCGGCCATGTATCGTCGATTCCAGGTTGATGCATCCCCCCCGTATGTCGGTCCCCCCTATCGTTGCCCCCCATTCCTCCTCGTCTCACACCTTCGTGGCTTGCATTTGCCCCCCAAGCTCCTTTCCGTTGAGGGCCCCAAGGTCCCCACGACACAGCAGGCCTGGCAGCTGGGCTCCCCTGGAGGGAGCCGCCATCGGGCCCGTGCACGCCCAGATTGTGAGGGTGTCTCCAGCGTTAAGTCGGGCCTGTGAGGAATGGAGACGATGTGTTGCGTATTTGTACTTGTGTTTGAAGTATGTTTGGGCTATTTTCTAGTTTTCGTTCAAAATCCGCCTGTAGGGGGGCATGCCCGACCTAACTCCAGCGGTTTGTTTGCTGTGTTTGCCTTCCAGACTCCTCTCTCCCTTTTGACAGGCTCCTCGAGCCTCTGTCGGCGGCAAGCGAGGGGGAGAGTGAGAAGGCGAAGGCCCTCCCAGAGGGCGGCGCTCAGAAGCCCTCGCGCCCTCTGAGGACTGCTCCGTGTCTTCGGGGGAGGCTTCGGAAACTTCTCGGAAGGCCGGGGGACATCCGAGCCTTCTGAGAAGTCCCGCCCCATTCTCACTTTCAATCGGGCACGTCCCTCTACAGGACGAATATTCAAATGTATGGTTTCAAACATTATGTTTGAGTATTGTTTGGACATTTGCTATGCGTCCTCCCAGAACCGCCTGTAGGAGGACATACCCGACCTGATTATCGCTTTCCCCCCTCGCTCGCTGTCGACCGGGGCTCGAGGTCCGGAGATCTCTCGGGAGCCTTGAGACGGGGGTCAATGCAAACGGGGGTCAGCCAGGGCGCCAGATCCTGCAGGATCCTGCAAAGGCCCCCTCTAGCTGACCCGGGTCAGGGAGCCGCTCGTGGCCGCGAGGCGGCCGCGCGTATTGGCTGACCCGGGTTTGCGAGGATCTGCGTTGCAGTTTTTGTTTTCCTGCATTGCAGTTTTTGGTTTCCTGCTGACCCGGGTCTGGATTGACCCGGGTCAGAAGGTCCCCGAAATCTCGAGCGTCCCCTTCGCGCGAGGCCTCCCGGCCTCGCGGTTGGCTTCCCAGCAGCCGCGCCGCGCCGAGCGCCCTCCCGGGGGGTGCCCGCGGCCGTCCCTTCGGCAGCAGGTCATGGGAGCCTGGTGTACCCCCTGAAGGCGGGCGTGTCCCTCTACAGGAGGGAAATGCAGACATAGTTTCTGCAAACAAAGAAATCGTCATGGGACGATGTTTTGACTATTTGTGTGTGTATGTGTGAGCATGGTTAATGTTTCATTTCGTCCTCCAAAATCCGCCTCTAGGAGGACATGCCCGACCTGAGTGTGCCCTCTTAACTCCGTCTTCAGAATTCCGTCTTTTGCGTCGACTCGCGTCAATCAGCGTCTTCGAGTCGGTGAGATGGCGCCGATGTAGCGTCGGCTAGCGTCGATGAGCGTCGCCTCAGCGTCGACGGGCGTCGATTTGGCGTCGACCTGGCGTCGGCCTGCGAGGGTCCACAAGACGGCACGGGAGGCTCCCGCGAGGTTGCTGCAGAGCGTCCCGGGCGGCCGCCAGAGGCCCGAGCTCTGGCCCGAGATCAATCAGGAGGGAAAAAAACACACAGACACAATGAATCGTCGACTCCCAGGAAAATATGGAAAAATATGGGAAGTGGGGGGGAAGACAAAAACCCAGAACATATGGGAAAAGATGGGGGATATTTTTATTTGTGTGTATTTATTTGTGTGTCCTAATTTCCCTTTACAATTGGCGTTTGCAAAACGGCTCCAAGAGCGCCGAAAAGCGATCCAAGAGCGCTCCAAGAGGGCGCAAAGAGGCGATTTTAGAGGCTCGACGAGGCGCAACGTAGAGGCTCGACAAGGCGCAACGTAAGGAGCCCCACTTCTGACATCACTCTCCTCCAAGATGGCCCCACAGAGACGCCCAGGAAGCTCCACGAGGCCTTCGATGATGCCCCCCAATGATGCCCTCAAGAGGTTCCCAAGAGGCCCTGGGCGTTCACTAAGCAGCCCTGCCCTGTTCGATTCCTTCTTGGGGCGCGTTTCCCAAAGGCCTCACGTGTCGGGGTGTTTTTGTTTTCGGGTGGATTTTCTTCCCTCCCACGAGAGGCTCCCGAGCCCCCGAGGCGGGCGCCCGTCGCGGAAGCGGCGGCCCTCCTCGGGCGCTGTCTGGAGGTCCTCCTCTGCGCCTCCCGGGGGGTCCTCCTCGTCGCCACGGCTGGGCCCGGCTCGGGGGACGGGCCAGGACGGATCCCGGGGGGTGATGACTAGGGGGGGGTGGATTTCATGGCGCGGGCCATGATTTTCCCCAGATTTCATGGCGCCTCTTCTTATTTCATTACGTCCCGGGCCCCCCCCGCTGGGCCGCGCACATGCCGCCGGTTATGATTTGCGCCCCCCCCTCTTTGACGCCCCCCTCCTTGCCGCTCCCGAAGGGGTCAGGGTTGAGCCTGGCCTGTCCCTCTACAGGAGGAATATTCAAACAGAGTCGACAAGATAGCCTGGCGAGGATTTTTTGACCATGGTTGACCATTCGGGGAAAAGGTCTTCAGTATTCTCGATTCTTCGTCCAGCGGTCGCCTTTGGGGGAACATGCCCGACCTGAGGTCAGGGGTCGGACGGGGCTGGGACGACAGTAAACAGGCGGGTGGTAATGAGGGGTGGCCCAAATGGGGGGTGAAGAGCAGGGCCCTCAATGGGGCCCTTTAGGGCCCCTTTGGGAGCCAGCAGGTGCCCAAGAAGGAATACTACAGGGTCCCCTTTGGGCCCTTTAGTGCCCCTTTTGGGTTCAGGGTCGGGCGGGGCTGGGACGACAATAAATCAATACCAGAGCGTTTCGGGGCGCTCTCAGAGCGAGTGCTGGACCTCAACGGTGTTTTGGCCATCTCGTGGGCCTTTTTGTTTTTTCGCTTTGTTTTGCATTCGAGGCGAACGAGGAAGAACGAAACGCAACACGAAAACGAGAAGCACCGTTCAGGTCCAGCCCTGCTCAGAGCGTTCCCGAACGCTCTGAAAATGGACCCCCGAGACATCTTCAGAGCTGCTGGACCTCAGAGATTCCCGGTTCATCCTCACCCGATGTTGTCCTCGCCCTGGCTTCGCCTTACAGGGCCGGGGACCGAGTTTGAGCCGCTTGAGGTCGCGCGCAGCGGGTCGTGTCCAGGCTTCGGCAGGGCCCGGCTCGATTCCCCGCGGACGACTCGTGTGCAGCGTGCCGCGTGGGCGTCGTCCGAGGCGTCATCGATCCCCGACCCAGGAAGGGTACACGGTGCACAGCTGTTCTTCCCCGGGAGCTGAGAGGTTGTGCACCGCGCCGCGGTGGAGCGGGGCCTCACGGGAGTCTATAGAACATGGTGTGCGGTGCTTTGGTGCCGTTCTCGTAGATTTGATCGAGTTGGTTCGATACCAAGTGCATCCAGCCCGATCCTCCTCGACTCTGAGAGGCCTCCTGATGGGCCTGTTTTCCACCACCACCATCATAAGTTGGAGGGGGAGGGGGTCCTCCACCTCCTCCTGCTCCTCCTCTTCTTCGTCCTCCTCCTCCTCGTCCTCCTCCTTCCCCCCTCCAACTTCTGGTGGTGGTGGTGGTGGTGGTGGTGGTGGTGGTGGTGGTGGAAAACACGCCCATCACCCCCGCCTTCTCAGAAGGCCGCCCCCGGCGCGGCAACGCCCATGTGGGCTCCGCTGGCATAGCCGGGCGCAGGGTGTGGATTGCTTGGTTGCTTGAGCCCACACCTCACTGCAGGTGCCCTAGGCCAGGGTGGCTCCCCCCTCCTCCCTCCCTCCCTCCTGCCTCAAGCGCAGGCGGCCCGAGGCACCTCCAGAGCCACGCTCTTGCCCCTCACAGCGTGAGCCCTTCGAGCACTATATTGCAGGAGCGCCCCTTCGTCTCATCTCTGCCTCGGGGGCGCTCCTCGTCGCCACGGCAGGTTCACCCTCGAACATTTGTCGGGCCGGACGAAATCTGCTGCATGCAGCTGGTTTCTGCCCCGCCGAGGGGCCCATTCCTCGATACATGGGCGCCTCCCGGCGCTGGGAGGCGCCGGGAAAGTCAGCTACGTGAGCTGATTCTCAAACCCCCCCTTTGCTATCCCCCCCTTTCGCCCGACCCGATTGTCGCCACGGCAGGTTCACCCTCGAACATTTGGTGAGAGCGCACCCTCGGGGAGGTCCGGTCAGGGGGCCCATGCCAGAGGGGAGGCCCAGGCATCGGGCGGACGGCGCCGTTCGCTCCCCGCGTGGTCTTCCGGCCCCGGCCTCGGGGGGCCGTTTTCGGACCCCGCGGCCATCACAGAGCCTGACCTGGGTGGGTCGGGCCGGGCGAAAGGGGGGGATTGGGAAAGGGGGGGTTACGAAATTTGCTGCATGCAGCTGGTTTCGGCCCCACCGAGGGGCCTATTCCTCGATACATGGCCGCCTCCAGCGCCGGGCGGCGCCGGGAAAATCAGCTACGTGAGCTGATTCTCAAACCCCCCCTTTGCTATCCCCCCCTTTCGCCCGACCCGAATCACAGAGCTGGACCTGGGTGGGGCGAAACGCCACCCCCGCCGGGAAGGGGTCGAGAACTCTCGTCAGGGGCATCGATCGGGGGTGATAGGCATAGCGGTGGGGTGCATCGACCTCCAATGATTGGGGGCCGATGGGGGGCCAATTGGGGCCCAATCGCCCATGGACCGCCGATGTGGGCGCCACGCCCGTTTTGACACGTTTCGTGGCCCTATAGGGAGCCCGCCCGAGGGAGCCCCACCGAGGTTCTCGGGCGTTGCGCCATCGGCAGCTCTCTGGGGCAACGTCAGGGGGCGACAGTCGAATCGGAAGAGCCTACCATTAAGTCGGGCGTGTCCCTCTTCAGGGGGAATATCCAGAAATAGTAAAAAAATAATATGGGGACGATGTTTCTGTTTTTTTTGCCATTTTGGGGGCGTTCTTTGATTATTAATCATTTCTCGTCCAAAATCCGCCTGTAGGGGGGCGTGCCCGCCCTGAGCTGAACAGAAACATGCGCTGTTGGAATACGTGCGGGCGTCTTGGATCGGCAGCGGGCCCCCATCCCTGGCCGGGGCGGCGGCGGAGGCGTCGCCCAGGGGGCTCCGCGCGCCAGGGAGGGGGTCGTTTTTGCTATTCGTTGTTTTGCCGATCAGCGCGGGCCCCCCAACGCCCCTCCCCCCCCCCTGGAGATTCCTGGAGCAGATCTTGGGTGTTTTTTGGCGCCTGTTTCGAGCAGGCGGAGCCTCCCCCAGAGGACGCACGGTCCCAAACAGTCGCACTGAGCAGAAGTCCGGAGCCAGACCCCCCCCTTCCCCCCCCCCCCGTCCGCCCAATGTCGAAACGCCGAATAAAAAAACGCTCACGAGGGGATCCAGCTCCGATTCCAGAAGAAGTTTGCCCGGCCCTCCGCAGTCTCCGGGGGGGATCGCATCGACCCCGAACCGCCCATAGGAAGGCTCGATGGCCCACCCCGCTCAGGAACGCTCGGATGCGCTATCGGGGCCCTCTCGCCGATCTATCGGCAGTGCCCATGTCCGTGTCCATGTGCGTCGCCGATTCCAGGTCCACGTCCCCCCCTGAGCCAGTCCCCCCTTCTATCTCGGAGCAGGGCGAGTTGAAGCAGCGGCAGCTCAAACTCAGTCCCCACACCGCTGTTCCGAGCTGCGTTCAGCCATGGCGACGATGGCCCTCCCCGAGCGCCAACTACTGCTGTCTCGATGGGCCCTGCTCCAGCCATGGCTGCCCCTCAATAGTTTGGTTCCGCCAGGAGCCGAGCGGTTCGAACATATGGTACCGCAGCGGCTGGGTCACCATCTCCCCCAAGGTGGAGGTCTACGTGCGACTGGAGATCCTCCGGCGCGAGGACGAGCCTGAGCTCTCGGCGCTGGACACGCTGCGGCTGGACATCTTCAGTCAGTTGCTCCAGGAGCCGGTAGTGTCGACCAAAGCTCGTGGCCTAGAGGTTGACACCAACACCAATACCGACGGTGTTCCTCTACAGAGAGAATGAGACCCCGATCTCGATGATGGTGGTAATATTCTGGCTTCCACGGTGACCAACATATTACAACCAACATCGAACTATAGGATCATCTTCCCCCTGTGGAGACAACCTCCTGTTTTGGTATTGGTGCCCATGCCAGGCCTCCAAAAAACATTGTTTTGTCAATCTCTTGGACCGTCTTCGTCTTCTCGTCCCTCTCATTGCGTTATGTACCATCCTGGAACCTATCATTGGCTGGCCACGAGATCGGATCTGCGCCAAGACGTGATTTCGGGCAGTCGGCCAGACCGCTTTCGTTTCAAACCCAGCGAACATGCAACGAACACGCAGAGAGATATTTTGATGGACCCCTGCAGGAGCAGATGGGCCCCAAGATGGTCGACCTCACGGCCACAGGCGTGTCCTACGGCATCAGCGCCTCCGCTGGGGGGCTCGCGTTCAGTTTCGGCGGCTTCGCGCCCATGCTCCCACGGCTCGTGGGCAAGGTGCTCGAGGATAGGGGGCCACATGCGAGTCCTACACCTCCCCCCTAAGATTTCTGAGGGGGATGGTGGGGGCAGGGTTCGCATGTGGCCCCTGTAGGAGTTCAACAGTTTCAACGCGAACGCGAGCATCACGGAGCCCTGCAGGTTCGAGCGCGTGGTGAACCTCTTCCGCCAGTCTCTCACCACCTACAACGACATGCCCATCAGCTACGCGGTTGAGGCCAGGAGCTCGGCGTTAAGAGCAAAAATGAACAGACGCCCTCCAATGTATGGTTTTTGGGCCTCAGGGAAGGGTAGCGGTGCATGAATCACCACCACCGTCACCCGCCCTGAATCGAAGAAGAAACAATACTATAAACATAATCTTTGGGCGCTCCGCGCGGATTTCTTGGGTTCGCGCTGGGCCCCCCTAGCGCCTAGCGGCGCCTCCGGCGCCGCCCCTGGCGCGCTCCGCGCGCCAGGTAGGGGGGTACAGCGCGGACCCAAGAAATCCGCGCGGAGCGCCAAAAGTTTCAGTTCACGGCTTTTTTTCGCATCCGATTGAGGGCACATGCCAAGGTCGTCGGAGGGTGTCCGTGCAGATGCTCTCGCTGCCCAGGAGCCTGCTCCTGTCTCGCGGGGAGTACTCCAGGAACGAGACGCTGGCGGTGCTGGGCTCCGCGGACCTCGCCTCCTCGGCCAGGTCCGTGGGGGAGCTGCTGCTCTCCCGGCCCCTGCAGCTCACGGCGCTCGCCATGGGCAACTTCGCGGAGGAGGACGCCCGCTGGGTGGTGGACGAGATGTCCAGGTCGGCGGCGAGCCTTGGGGCTTGGTATCGCTCGGACGTGTGCACTTTTTCTCGGCGGGGATTATTAAGGAGCATCTTCGATCATCCTGCGAAAAATAAAAAACACGCACGAAACCGAACAAAACACAGGGAATGGACGTCCGAGCGATGGCCAGGGGGGGGGGAAGTGACAGGGAGAAGGCCTTCTCAGAAGGCTCGGAAGGCCCCCGGGGTCCTGGGAAGCTTTCCAAGCCTTTCCCGAAGACGAGCAAAAACCTCTCCGAAGGCGCGGGGGGTTCAGAGAAGTCTCGCCGCCTTCTGCGAAGGCCGTCTCCTTCTCACTTCCCCCCCTCGCTCCCCTCCGCCCAGGGGGATCGAGATACCTGACTGGATCAAGCTGTCCACCGGGAAGGGCAAGGTCTGAAGAAGAAACCGCTGCACGAGCATCCACTTTCGGAAGTCCGCGCGGAGTTCCTGGCGCGGCGCTCGCCGCGCGCCGGAGAGGGGGCCCAGCGCCGATCATAGAAATCCGCGCGGACCTCCGAAAGTTTATATCAATGTATGTGTGTGTTGTTCCACGGAAGGTGGAGGAGGTCATGCCTGTCATAAGCCCCAAGGATCCCGTGGAGTTGCGACTGCGGAACCCCCGGCTCGGGGACCCCAACGACGTGGCGATCGTTACCATCGTGTACGGCGTGTCGACCGTCGAGTCGCGCGTCGCGTTGGGTCTCATCCCGGGGGCGTCCAAGAGGGGGGTGAGGACTAGGGGAGTGTTCACCAGAGACCAAAGTGCCCATACCACCAGCGAGGGGGGCGGCTGGGGCGGCTGTCCCACCCTCTCGAGCTGGTGGCACCTCGTTCTGGGCATGCCTCCAGAGAGTTACCGCAAGGAGGTGCCACCAGCTCGAGGGGAGGAAGCGGCCACCCCCATGGCTGGTGGTAGTGGTCATGTACTTTCTCCTGAAGTGTGGATGTCATGGCCAGGGCCATGAAATCTCCCAGGTGGCATTGCCCCCTGCTTCTCTTTTGGGGCGCTCCCTGTCTCTCTCCCCTCGTCCGCGCACGTGCCTGGGGCCACGACGGGTTTCCCCTCCCTCCTCGCCCTTGGCCCCCCTCTCGAGCGCACCCGTGCATCGGGATGTTGCTGCACCCGCTGGCCTACGAGGAGCTGCGGACCGTGAGGCAGCTTGGCTACGTCGTCAGCGCCGAGGCCTCGCGCATCTCCAACGTGCAGTACATCTCCGCCTCGGTGCAGGGGACCAAGCTCCGTGCGGACGACCAGGAGGCTGCCATTGAGCTCCTCTTCAACGACCTGATGCCGAAGCGGCTGGCGAACCTCTCGGACGAGGAACTCGCCAGCATCCGCGACGCTTTCAGGGAGGAGCTGCTGCAGCCGCCCGAGTCGTTCGGCGAGGAGGTGGCCCACTTCCGGGGCCCGGTCCTGATGGGCGGCAGGTGTTTCAGCCTCTACAGCGCCTGTCACGAGTACCTGAACTCCTCCGCTGTGACCAGGGATCTGCTAGTGAGCACGTGGAGGGACCTCGTGAACCCGTGGGAGGAGGGGACGCGCAAAAAGATCGTGACCAAGCTCTTCGCCGGGGAGGTGCGGGCTCTGCCGGCGATGGCGACGTCGAGGTCGAAACGAGGACGCCAGTTTCGACGGCGACGGCAACGGCAGCAGTGGCGGAGGCGACGACGACGGCGACGGAGACGCCGCCGTTGAGGTCAGCGGCGTCCACGGAGGCGATGTCGTCGAGGTCGTCATTGTCCACGATGCTGAGGTCGGCGTCTGCAGCGGCGGCGGCGGTGGCGGCGGGGCTTCCCGGCAGGGGAGGTGCCGGCGCGGCCGACGGAGGACGAGGCCACCGCGGCCTGGAAGCGGCAGGGCGTCCCGGACGCCGCTGTGCCCATGCTGCTGCGCGAGCTCAAAGCGGCGCAGGCGCCGGCGGCCGCCACCGCTGCGGTCTGGGCGCGCGCGCGCTCACGCAGCTGGTGGGCTTTTTTTTCCACCGCCACCAGAAGTAGGAGGGGGAGGGGGTCCTCCTCTTCCTCCCCCTCCTCCTTTTCCTCCACCTCCTCCTCCACCTCCCTACCCCCCCAAACTTGTGGTGGTGGTGGTGGTGGTGGTGGTGGTGGTGGTGGTGGTGGTGGTGGTGGTGGTGGTGGTGGTGGTGGAAAGCAGGCCCACGAGCAGCGGCTGTCGCAGCCGCCGCTGCGTTCTGGGCGCACGCTCGCGCGCGCGTGCGCGCCGCTGGGTCCTCGCCGCGCGGCGGGCCCCGCCGCAGGCGTATCGCCAGGGGCTGTCCGCGCTGCGGGCCAGCCGCGCACGCCGCGGCTGGGCGGCGGCATCTCGCGCTGGCTCGCGGGCAACCCCGCGAGCTTTCGCCTCGTTCTCGGCGGCGTCGTCGTCGTCGTCGTCGGCCTCGAGGTTCCCGCCGTCGTCGTCGTCGTCGTCGTCGTCGTCGTCGGCCTCGAGGTTTATGTCGTCGTCGTCATCGTCGTCGTCGTCGTCGTCGTCGCGCCTCCCCCCCGCGGGGCCTCCGGGAGGCTCCTCGTCGCCGAGCGATCTGGAGGGGCCCCTCGGGGGTGCCGGCCCGAGCGCGCCCCCCAGGAGTCGAGCAGTGGCGAAGCGTCCTGGCTCGCCTATATCAGGAGGAAGGAAAACTCACAGACACAATTGATCGTCGATCCCCATGAACATATGCGAACATGTGGGAAGGTGGGGGGGAAGACAGACACCCAGAAAATATGTGAACATATTGGGAACCGTTGTGTCTGTGTCTATTTATTCGTGTGTCCAATGGCCCCCTTTACGATAGGCCCACCAAAAAATAGTCTAAGAACCTTTTGTGGTTTGCACGAGATCTTCTCGGAACATTTCTGGCTGAGTCTGTTTTCTTTTAACACGGCGGGTGCATGTTCTAAGGACATCGCTTGGGCTCTTAAAACGTTTTCTGGGTTCTGGGAACATGTCGTGCTAGGCCTATAGAAATGCCAGGACGGTCGGTCCCTGCTCAAAGGAGGGGTCCCAGGGGCCGACTGCGTCAGGGCCGCCGCGAAGAGAAGGCGTCCGAGGGGCCCGAGGCGTGAGTCAGGCATGCCCCTCTACAGGAGGAGTATCCAAAAGTAGTCCAGCAATAGCCTGGGGACGATGTTCCAATTCTTTGTGTCTATCTTGGATTATTTGCTGCCTCTTTGCAGCATTCGCCCCAAATCCGCCTGCAGGATGACATGCCCGACCTATAGCCCGAGGCTTCTCACCACTCCCCGGGCCGTCAGGGAGCGGCTCGGGAGGAGGATCGAGGATCGAGGAGGATCGAGGAGGCTCGAGGAGGATCGAGGATCGAGGAGGATCTGCTGCCGGAGGCCGCGGAGCGCGCGGCGCGGGCGCGGCGGCCGCCCAGCGCGCGGGAGCGGGGCTCGGCGCGCCCGGCGGCCGCGCCCGCGCAAGGAGCGTCCCTGCCCGGGGCGCCGAGGAGCGCCCGCCTACGCGACGCCATGGCGACCGCGCTGGTGGGCGCCGCCGCGTGCTCGCTGGGGGCCCTCGGCGCCGGCGCCGCCTGCGCGGCGGCGTCCTGGCTCCGCATGGCAGACCTCCGACGTCGTGCCGGCTGCGCACAGGCAGCACCGCTCGGTGGTGGTCCTGGGCGGTTTCAGCACCCTGGCTAGACGCTCGTTTGGGGGACCAATTCCTGAGGCCAACCAAACGGACCTGTTCGACTCAAATCGACGGCCATTCGACGCAGCTTCGACGCACGAGTGGAGCGATTGTCTCCACGAAGGTCCCCAGAATGAGCATCTACTACAGCACTGCTTGGTATTCCGGTCCGGTTTGAGCACCCTGGCGCCGCCTGACCCTGGGAGATGTGTCGCGTGAGTTCCAAGAGGGAGTTCCCAGATCTCCGAAGATATGGTTTCTACACTGTACACTCCCAGTTTTCTGTTGTCGAGCGCCGGGGCTGTCAAGATCGATCCAGACGAGAAGTTGCTTTCGGAGGGGAGGAGTCGGGACCTCTGAGGGCCGCGAATTGAATACCTCACACTGTCGGACGCTTTGGTTCTCTGACAGTCCCAGAGTCCGAACTAAGGCCCGAGAAGCCGAGTACGGCGAAACACATGAGATCGTTACGTTGGAGTTTTCTCGAACGGAGCTAGTATCAGGACGAATCCGTTCCAGAGCGTTCCAGATCGCTCTCAGAGCGTTCTGGAACGCTCTGAAATCGCCGCGGCGCCCGATCTGGGTGGTTCTCGTTGCCAGGGGTTAGCCGCACGTGCGAAGCCGAGCACATGCATTCTAAATCGAACAGTCATGTCTATCTCGATTCCACTTGAGTTCATGCGCGCGGCTTCGAAGGTAGCTGACTGAAGGCGCGATCACCCCTGTCAAGGGCACGCCATTTCGACGTGTCGACCAGCGGCGAACCCAGCGCGGACGTTTCAGGTTGAACGCCGCCCGTGGCCCAGAATCGGCCTGTCGTTGAACGACCTGGCGTTAATAGAACATCCGATCGTTCAAGTTTGCACGATTCCCGCGGTGTTAGGAACCAACGCCGGGTTCGACACGACGCGAGCCTGTCGTACACCTTTGGCGATGGATAAGAAAACCCAAGTTTTCGGCCAGAGTCTCGATGATTCTTAATGTTTCCATGTAAATCCTAAGATTTCGATGGAAATTCTGGGCTTCTACTCAAGTTCTGAGACTATGAATTTCTCAACCCATGATTTCTTAAGCATTTCGCAGGGTGTAGGTGGTTCTCTTCATGCGGGCTCGTTCTCCTCCACCCTCGGGCTCCGGGGGGCCAGTGGCCCGGCATCGAGGGATTCCCAAGCTCGGAGGAGGGAGGGGTACCTATACACCTTAGGCGATGCTTGAGAAAACTTAAGTTTTCGGCCAGAGTCTCGATTATTCTTAATGTTTCAATGTAAATCCCAAGATTTGAATAGACATTCTGGGTTTTTATTCAAGATCTGAGACTATGAATTTCTTAACCCATGATTTCTAAAGCATTTCGCAGGGTGTATACTGCTACCCGTCATCCGTTCCCCTCTTCTGGGGGCCTCCGGAGAGTCCTGGTCAGAGCGCACCCCGGGAGAGGTCCACGGAGCAGCGACATCGGTGTTTGTTGCTTCCCGCAGCTCCCAAACACCCAGCTTATATCAGGAGTGAGGTTTTTCGAAGTTTGTGGTTACTCAGCCCGCTCTCGCGCCCCAGGGCCGTCAAGGCACGATTCGGGTTGGGGTCGGGACCTCCAGGGACCCCGTAGCATCGGATGTCTTGAGCCGCCATCTTTCAAGGGCGACCAATCCGCGCGGTGTCGTTTCATGTTTTCGCGTTCCTTCCCATGAGACTTAAGACATCTAGCGCGACTTGCTTGCGATATCTCTGCTACGTGCCTTGGTCATGCGTCCATCAGCGGGCAGCAGGAAGCTTGCCCCTGATAACGCAAGGCTGGGGACACTTCAGGCCAGGGGCACATTTATCGAAGTAGAAAACACTATAAGCATAAACTTTCGGAGCTCCGCGCGGATTTCTTGGATCTGCGCTGGCCCCCCCCTGGCGGCGCCTGCGGCGCCGCTGCTGATGCGCTCCGCGCGCCAAGGGGGGGCCCAGCGCAGATCCGAGAAATCCAGCTCGGACCTTTCACACTTTGTGCTTATGCAGTCATTTGCTCTTCCAGTTCATCGGAGCGTGAATTAACTCCCCCGCTTTCGCTTCCAGGCAAAACCAAGCCATACCACGCACCTCCTCGTCAAGCGGCCTGACCAGTACAGGCCGCAATTTGGCATTGATTGGTATCCCTTGGAAGCGAGGGTGGTCAAAAGCGAGGTAGGTTTATTTTCCCCCAAGTTTAGCCACGTACCGAAGCGAGGCACCCGTCGAGGTGCCGCGGCGCGGGCGAGATGTCCGATGGGGGCCCCCGCACTGCACAGGGCAGGGCCTCGGAGGTCTGGGGCGCAGCGGCAGGCGCCGGGCGGGCCAGGAAGTCCCCGCCGACGTCGCCGGGGAGGTGCGGGTCGGGCGAAAGGGGGGGGTTGGGAAAGGGGGGGTTACGAAATCTGCTGCATGCAGCTGGTTTCGGCTCCACCGAGGGGCCCGTTCCTCGATACATAGCCACCTCCGGCGCTGGGAGGCGCCGGGAAAATCAGCTACGCGAGCTGATCCTCAAACCCCCTCTTTGCTATCCCCCCCTTTCGCCCGACCCGAGAGGTGCGGGTGATGGTGGGGCTCAGGGCGCCGGAGCGCTTTGCCGCCGTGCGCGGCGACATCCTTCGGTTTCAAATCATGGGAGCCGTCTGGTAGAGCGCAGTAGCGTCGAGTAGCGTCTGGCAATCGATGCTTCAGCGCCGATTTAGCGTCGATGAGCGTCGCTGAGCGTCGATTCAGTGGCGATTAGCGCCGATGGGCGAGAGCCAACAGGATGGTATTGGAGGCCCCCATGAGTTGTCACCGAAACATCCTGCTGGCGGGGCCTGGCCCAGACTCGAAGAAAAGAAATCGGCATGCATCAAGGGACAAGAGCTACCGATGCCGCTGCTCGTCCTGCAGACCTTGTCCTCGCCACTGCTGGACTCTCTGAGAAATGCTGGTCAGGCTGCACCCCTGGAGAGGTCCAGGGAGCATCGGCATCGGCACCTCTCGAGTAGGAAATCGACTACGTAGTTGGCTCGCCCCCAAAATTGATGTTCCGTCGAGTCGACGAGTCGGCGACACTCCCTGCAGAGGTACGAACCATCTACGCATCGGCCTGCAGATTGGACCAAGGTTCGAGCAGAGGCTCTACTCGAACCTTGCTGTCTCCCACGAACACATACATCTTCGTAGGTCCGCGTGGGTCGCCTCTCACGGGGGCGCGGTTCGCCGAGAGAGCCCAAGAGGAGGAGGAGGAGGAGGAGGAGGAGGAGGAGGAGGAGGAGGAGGAGGAGGAGGAGGAGGGGGAGGGGGAGGAGGAGGAGGAGGAGGAGGAGGAGGAGGAGGAGGAGGAGGAGGAGGAGGAGGAGGAGGAGGAGGAGGAGGATCGGCGGTGGGCGCCCCTCTGGCGGATCCGCCCCTGTCGCGCTCTCTGCACCGACAGCCCGGCGCGCGGCCCAGTGCCGATCATCGGGAGCCTTGAGACGGGGGTCAGTGCAAACGGGGGTCAGCCAGAGCGCCAGGTCCTGCAGGATCCTGCGAAGGCCCCCTCTGGCTGACCCGGGTTAGCGAGCCGCTCGTGGCCGCGAGGCGGCCGCTCGTATTGGCTGACCCGGGTTTGCGAAGTCCTGCGTTGCATTTTTCTTTTCCGGCATTGCAGTTTTTGGTTTCCTGCTGACCCGGGTCTGGATTGACCCGGGTCAGAGAATCCCCGAGATCAGAGAAGGCCGCGCGGGCTTGCGGGGGCTTCTGTGACCAAGAGAAAGCAAGATCCCGATCCCCAAATCGCTGACTGACCGAGTACTCGGGAATGGGCCAAGGATTATTGGGTGGGATTTGCCTTCAGCCTTTTCAGCTGCTTCCCACACAAGACCCTGCCCCGAGATCTCTCTCCGATATCGCAAGAAGCCTGCATCTTGCTCTGGCGCTGGCGTGTTCGGGGTTGGGCGGCTGTTTAAACTTACTCAGTCTGCCCGTGTTTCCGCGGACGATTTCTTGCGTTGCATCTTCGGGTGACCTCGCCGCCTGTCCCCCGAATTGGTGTCTTTTCTTGTGCCCGACGCGGGCTCGGAGCGGACTGGACGCGGGTTTGGCGTGGGTTCGGCGTGGATTTGACATGTATTGACACGGATTTGATGAGTTTGACAAGGGTTCGACACGGATTCGACGCGGATAGGGCCGCGACAGGACAGGCAAGGTCACCCGAGGATGCAACATAAGTTTTCTGTGCACTTTCCCACGTTGGCCTTTCCCCAGGCGTCGTCGATCCTCGGCCCAGGAATAATACGGTGCATACACGCCTGTCGTTGAAAATGGGCATTGTTGGATCCCCGGACCCCAATATATTTCTAGCGCCTGCATACTTCGAGAACCGATCTGCTTGTGCTGTGTGTTTGTGATTCCCTGGGAGGGCCTGAACTCAATCTACTTGAGCCGCCTTCCTGCTTCATGTATTCATCTACAGTGGAGACCCATGCCAAGAAACACCCTGCTTGCCTCCAGAATGCCCTAAGATTCTTGGGTTCCGATGAATTTGCCATGGAATGCGTGACGTTCCCACACCGAAAAATCAATGGACGTCCTGGGGTCTCAGGGTTGGGTTTCTTGTGGAAGGTTTCTTGTGGACTGGCCTCCACTGTATGCTCCGTACCGCGCTGGAGCGGGGCCTGAAGGGAGTCCAAGCATGGTGTGGTGCACGAACGTCGCTCTCGTAGTGCTAATTCGGGCATGTCCCTCCAGGGGCGATGTTTCGATGTTTGGAGACATGCTTTTGAATAATAGCGGACATGTTTTATATTTAGCGGACATGCCCGACTTAATCGTAGTGCTGATGTCTCTTGTTCTGTACAGACAGCCTCAAGCCGACCTGCTTCCTGGGAGGCGCGCGGGTTTGCCTCAGGGCGTGCACCAGCGGCACGCTGGGTGTGCACATCGAGTCGGACTCGGCGCCCAAGGTGATGATCCGGTTTGACTCCGAGGCCCAGGCGCGGCAGTGGCAGCAGGTGCTCGCGCGCGCGGCGGCGCTGAGCGCGCCCTCCGCGCAGCGCATCCAGCAGCTCCTGGACGATGGGGGCCACCACGAGGGTGCACAGCTTGTCGCGCTTCGAAGTTCGTGGTCTGGTCGGTTTCAGAGGGAGGCGCGAGTCCTTCATCCTGTTCCAGGGGTGGAGAGGGGGGGCGGCGCGACAGCGCGGGGAGATTCGCGCTTTGCGGAACGTGAAGCGCGAAGACTGTTGAGCGATGCAAGCACGGGGGGTCGTCTGCGCCGACACTCGCGCGTGAGCTGCCCGGGGAAGGTCGCGCGTGAGCGTCTTCGCCTCCAGCGTAGCGCTCTGCGCTGGCGGTAAAACGGTCGCGGTGCCATCTCGCGTACAGTGGGGGCCCATGCCAAGAAACACCTTGCTTGCCCCCAGGGTGCCCTGGGTTGCTCGGGTTGCGACGGTTTTGCTGGGGAGAGCGTCCCTTTTCCACACCGCGAAGCCATGGACGTCCTGGGGGCCTCAGGGTCGGCTCGTGCTCGGGCCCCCCAGTGTACGGCCCGGCTCTTCTCGCCGCCCCGCTGCCCGAGGACGACCTGGACACGCTGAGCGCCAGCAACTGCAGCCTCGAGCGGTCCTGCACCAGCCGGGCGGTGCAGCGCGCAGCGGCCGGGAGCCCCCCGGCGGCGCCCGGGGCGCCGCCCGCCGCGGCGGCGCCCGCCGCGGCGGCGCCGCGGCCGCGGTCGCCGGCCCGGCTGGAGAAGCTGCGGCAGTCCGGGGAGGCTCGGCTCCTGGGCCTCCCAGACCGGTTCGGATGCAACTCCTGGGAGGTCAAATTTCGCAGGCGATTTCTCTCCCCCAATCCCCGACTTCCGCCAGAAAAGTTTGGTCGCTCAGAAAAAGGGAGGAATCTTGGGATACATCCCGAGGGGGCTATTCGGACGCACCCCTAATCCAATAGCCCTTATAACGGCGACGATGGAACACAGTGCCGGGGAACTGCTTTGAACATCACCAGTCGTTCAAAGCAGTGCCCCGGCACTGCTTTGAACGATGCGGAAATGCGATCAGCAGGAGCCTTCGTCTGTTCCTTCTCCTCTTCTCGTCGCTGTATGCTCTTCCTTGTCCTCCCTCCTCCCCCGTTCCCTCTCTAATTAATTACCTCGTTCTCCCAGTCTCACGCGCACTCTTCCTCCCCCCTCTCCTCCTCCTCTTCCTGCTTCTCCTCCTCGTCCTCCTCCTCCTCCGCCTCCTCCCCCTCATTTGTTATATTTCTCCGTCCTTGTCCTCCTGTCCCCGTTCTCCTTCTCCCTCTCCTCCTCCTCCTCCTCCTCGTCGTCGTCGTCCTCCTCCTCTTCCTCCTCCTCCTCCTCCTCCTCCTCCTTCCTCCTCCTCCTCCTCCTCCTCCTCCTCACCTTCTTCCTCCTCCTCCTCCTCCCCCTTTTCCTCTCCCTCCTCCTCCTCCTCCTCCTCCTCCCCCTTCCCCCTCTTCCTCCTCTGCTATCACTCCTCCATAATTCCTGTCCGCTCCTCCCCTTCACTGATCTTCCTCTTCGTCATCATCATCCCTTTCGTCGCACGCCTCTTAATCCTCAATCGGTTCCCAATCTTCTCGACTTTCTTGTCATCCGCGTCCTTGGCTGTTGGAGGGGCCTCAGGAATTCTCAGGGCTCTTGTGTTGCACGCGAAGGCACACCTCCCAGGAACGCATCATCCTCCTCACATTCACCCTCCTCCTCCTCATCCTCCTCCTCCATGCACGTTCGGCTCAAGCCCGCGCCGACGGTAGGTTTCACGGCGGTTGGGCGGGCTCGCGCCCGCCTCCGCGGCCTGCAGTCGGGGCAGAGATGCGTGCAGGGTGGGATGACAAAGCGGAAGAGGAAACACGGGCCGCAGTTGCGGATTCTTCAAAGAGCAGCGGCGGCGGTTGGGGAACAAGTGGGGGTTGGGGCGGCCGCAGTGGCGGATACGGCGGCGGAGGTGACCGCAGTGGCGGCTGGGGCGGCGGAGATTCTCTTGGCGGATGGAGAGGAAAAGCGCAGGATGGCGGCGACGGAAGTGACCGCAGTCGCGGATGGGAGGGCGGCGGATGGGGCGGCAACGGATGCGAGGGTTGGGGAATGGAGGGCGCCCGCTGGTGGGACGACGAGGGTGGCTGGTGGAATGCATGGGAAGGTGGCCGCTCGAGTGCCTCGGCAGGTTCTCCTGCCGCGGAGCCCGCGGCCGCAACAGCGGCGGGCAAAGGAGGCGGTCCCCTGCTTCCCCCAGGGCGCGAAGAACAAGGCGCAGTTGCGCTGTTTCAAATTGTGCGCAATGAGCCGCTGCCAATTTTCAAGTTGGAATTCTTCGAGAACTTCAGGGCGAACTGGAACGGCAATTATAAGCAGCACAACGCGGCCTTGAAGTGGTTCCGAGACGAGTACGAAGACCGAGAAAACCCTTTCGGCAGCCGCACGCCCGTCTTCGGAGGTACCGCAGTTGCGGAGGAAATTTCGAAGATCCTTAAGTACCGCGCAAAGGGGAAGGCGCAGGACAACAGGGATTGGGACTGGGACCACACTGTCAAAGTGCCGTGGTCTTGGCTGGAGATGGTCGCGCAGATGGATGGACCTACAATGCTGCGCGTCGTGTGCGGCCCTGACAATGACCGCAGTCGCGGGTTGGTCCGCTGCGAGTGCCGCCCGTGCCCTAGCAGTCTCGACAACATGAGGCACACGAAAGGGGTGGACAGAGGACAGGCGCAAAGAATCCCTCTGCCCCAGTGGGATTTCGTCCTCATCCGCGACGACGGCTCGGGCATTCGCGTCCACCCATCCTGGTCTAGCCCGAAGTTCAACACGTATGAGGTGGAGCCGCACTCGCATCCCGTGCGGGGCCCGAGGGCAGGTCTCGGCAAGAGCGATGGCCACGGAACGTTCACGTTCTGGAAGATGCTGCACGCCCATCCGAATCCTGGGCGGTTCGACGCGAGCAAGGGGGCGCATCTGCAACCGCGGTGGTCCGCGCAGCCTTGACACCGCAGTTGCGGGATTGCGCAGCCATGGAACCGCAGTTGCGGAAACCGATCGCGTGACGCCGCGCTCGTTTGACTCACTATGCGCGCTTTCGGCCGCAGTTGCGGCGCTGCCTTCTAGCGACTTCATACAGCTTGGCCGCAGTTGCGGCGCTCCCACGACTGACCGCTGTAATTAGGTGCTTCGGGCGCGCATCACCTCCGTTGAAGCACTCGTGACGTTAAGTAGCGCGGCCGCAGTTGCGGAGACAGGTACTTAAACAGATGGATCCGCAGTTGTTCGTCGTCCTCGTATCCCCTTCCCCGTCGTCCTCGTCGCAGTCTCCTCCCTCCGCCTTTCCTCCTCGTCGCAGTTCCTTCCGTTGGCCGTAGCCCGCCTCCGTTGGCCGAGTCATTTCCCGTCGTCCTCGTCGCTTTCCCCCCCGAGGGCCGCAGTTGCGGACTTTGTTGATTCCTCCTCCTCCGTTTCTTGCCCGTCATCCTCGTCGCAGTCCCCTTGCTCCTTTCACCCTCGTCTGAGCTCTTCGCGCCATCCTCTTCCGTCGCGTCCTCTCCATCCTCCTCTTCGCCTTCCTCGTCCTCATCCCCGCCGTCTCCCTCGTTGCCGTTCCTCTCCCAAGCCGGCCGCAGTTCCCCCGTCGGACGGGGGCCGCGCGCGGCCACGCCATGGACCCAGCTCGCAAAGCCGAGGTCGACAAGCGGTTCGCCGAGCTGAAGCAGCAACTGCGGGAAAGGCTCGGCGCGCAAGGGGCTGCCGCGGATGCCGCAGTCGCGGAGCCGACGGGGGACCGCAGTAGCGGAAGCCCCGAGCGACCGCCGCGCGAGGCCTCCCCGCAGTCGTCTAGCTCCTCGCGGGAATATCGGCCGCCGCCGCCGATAAGCGCTGCGAGTGGGAGCTCTGCTGGTGGGAGGCGCGAAGAGGCGCAGTTGCGCAGGGCGCACTTGACCCCCAAGGCAAAATGGGGGCCTCGGGCGCAGACGCCGACGAAGCAGCAGGACCAACCAGCAGTGACGGGAGCCGCCACCGAGACCGCAGTTGCGGGGGTGGCCGGCGAGCCAGGTGCCGCGCGCGGCTCATCTGGGAGCAGCGCGCCCTCGGCCGTGCTGCTCGCAGCCGAGTCCAAACGAGGCGCCCAACCCGAAGACGAGGCCGCCTCCCAGGAGAAAGCCGCCGAGACAACCGCCTCGGCCGATTCGCGGCCGAGGAAAAGGCCGCCTCCCACGGAAGACTCGCCGCTGTCAGAACCGCAGTCGCGGGGTCGCGCGGGGCCTCCGTCGGAACCGCAGTTGCGGGAAGATGCGGGAGCACCGCGGAAGAAGCAGCGGACCAGGTCCCCTCCAGGGATAAACTACTTTGGGGAACGCCCCAAGTGGAACGAAGGATTCCTTCGTACAGCAGACGGCAATCGGGTTCCGTCCACCATCGCTTTGGTGTTCAACGTGGTGGTCATCACGAAGGTGGCAACAAAGGAAGATGTCTTCAGGTGCATCTTGCACCAAACTGCGGCGGTCGTCTTCGTCGTATGGGACCCCGAGCTGTTCCGCACGGGGAACGTCGAAGGCGCTTGCAGCTACGACGTTCGCGTTGGACTCAGGAGTGCCATCGACAACGCTGTCACTATGAAAAACGCCTCCGAGGAGCCTTACTGGACGACGGTTCCCCTGTTCAGAGAGACGGGCCTGGTGCTCGTGCGCCCGCACATCATCGCAGAGACCGCAGTTGCGGGTCATGTTCATGGGGCCACCCACGCCGTCACGATCCTGAGCTTTCGCCTGAAGGGCTCCGAGATGAATCCTGCCGCGGTGATCCGTTTTGCCGTCGTGTCCAGACACGCAGTCACCGAACGTCTCCAACACAAGATCACGCAAACAGAACAACAAGCGTGGCATACAGCTTTCTTCAAGGACGCGGTTGCTGCCATCCATAAAAATGATGTGCGGTTCTTGTGCGGCCTGTTTGACATCCCGCCTGAGCAGCTCGCAGCATTGGGCCGCAGTTGCGGAGCCAGCTGCACCTGCCCGGTGGGGGTGGTGTTCAGGGCTGGACCCGCCCTGTTCGGAGGCATTGTGAAGGGCACACGCGTCATGCATCCGAATTACGTCCTCCCCATTGGCCCGTGCGACGTGCGCATTGCGGACTACAACATTGATTTTGCAGGGAGGCCGTCGAAGAACGATCCCCAGTGGCTCCCTGATTGGATGCATCGAACAAGCGACTCCATCATCTCTCGGCGCTGGGTTCCAGCGAAGTACATGCCCAAGTGGGAGGATGACCCTGACCGCAGTAGCGGAGTCAGAGAAAAGCTCCACTTGGCAGCGCTGCCCCCAATCGGCAAGGTCATTCAGAAGGAGCTCAACGAGAAGACCTTCAGCACGCACTGGTGCGAGGGCATCCACCAAAACATCGTCTTCGTCGGCCACGGACGCGCAAGTCGGGCGAGCAAGCGGAAGCACGAAGAGGCGCGATCTGCCGCAGTTGCGGACGAGCGGTGAGTGCGGCAAGACCGAGGAGCCGCAGTTGCGGAACAGAGCTCGGTACTAATTACTGGGCGCCTGCTGCCTGCGTAGTGCATCCCAGTGTAGGATAGCCCGCAGTTGCGGCGTTGCGGTTGCGGTGTAGGATAGCCCGCAGTTGCGGGGTTGCGGTTGCGAAGCCGCAGTTGCGGTTGCGTATAATAGGAGAGCACGCGGTTGCGAAGCCGCAGTTTGCAATAAGTGTGCGCGCGCTGGGTCATCATCATCGTCGTCGTCCGTCCTCGTCGTCGTCGCTGCCGTCGTCGTCGTCGCGTC